CTTTGGTGGGAAAAACAGAGTGTGTGTTTATCTTCTGACAGCAAGGTAAAAATCTTCAGGTTTGAAATAAGGGCATTGCAGACATTCTCTAGCACAAAATCAAATATCATTTCCTCATCTACACAGATTCATCTAATGAGAGTAAAGAATAAACACTGAAAGTTTCACCACACTTTGCAAACCATGACAGTTCTGTTATCTTGCGATAATCACACACCACTATCACTGCAGTGACAATTTCAAACATTACCATAAAGCAGAACAAGTACTATTTCACTGATTTATTCAACTTCCTTAGCATTCTATTTCTTGTATAAGTAACATAAGCTGCCTATTTTAAAATGTTAATACAACTTCTTCAAATACTACACTGCTTAATATAATATCATTTATTTCACTGATAGAGAACATTTTAGATGAGGCCTTCTGTGTGCATAAGGGCTTTCAATAACTATAAGGAATGGAATGTATTCACTTTATCTATCCATATATATATTCAGATACATCTACCACTTTAAATTGTTTAGCATTTCCACAAATATTCAAGAGATATTGTCTTTAACAGCATGTTTTTATGACTACTAGTTTTCATCGCTTTCTTTAAGCAGAAGTTACAACCTGCTCTATTATTTATACAGTACAGGATACAATGACCTCTGCAATGCAAGACTAGACAATCCAAGTGAGTACTTTATGATACTGTCTACTGAAAAGCAGGTGTGCTATATTGCCACACAAACACATTGTAATGGAAACCATTGCTCACCTTCATAAACAGAAACACAAGCTAGTAAATAAATTCAATTATTGTTGGGTCTGCAATCCCAGCCTTTAATTTACTACACAAGTGATCTGCCAGTGAGCTAGAGAAACACTTCCATCAAATCAATTCATGTTAATAAGAAACAACGAGCTCCTTTGGAGAAGCTTCAAGTTTTATCAATGAATCTTTCTTGGAATTACACAGGACCAAGCCTTCAGGAGACACTCTATGAAGTTAAGCAATTTTAAAATATCAGGCAAGCATTCAAGTTAAATCTTAGAAGAATGCCATGATATTATACTGCTCTCTATGAGACGCAGAATAGAAAGGACAGGGACCCTTTTCTCTCTCAGCTGAAAAACTGTTACAGAACATACAACTTTTACAGGAGATAAGGCAAGAATGTGACCAACTGTATTAGCAAACTACACTGAATTCCCTTTCTATGAATGGACAACCTCAAGGCTAAATGCTGCCTGCAGGAATGCAACACGGAGCACGGCCATTTATATCCATCTGATTTTTTGACCCTTCCTTGGCCTTGTCTAAGGTTTGCTGTAATTTATCCAAACCCCTAGAATGCTGGGCTACACAAGGTAAGTGCAGCTCACATCTTTGGTCTCTCTTCTCCCTTGACACCGCACGCCCCTTTCATCCAGCACAGCTGTGCCAGCATCAGGGCTTCATTGCTTCCCTCCGACAGGATGCAAAATTCAAAAGACAATTTATGTACAGAAGTGGAGAATACCCTCTCAGAAATATTTGATAATGATAAGAAAAGTTATTCCTGAGGAAATTCTAAGCCACAAAAGGTCATGATTTTGTTAATGAAAAAAATAATCAATACACAAACGTTTGCACTGAAAGACAAGGTGCTACTGTTGGCCTTTCTCTTCATTTATCATAAAATTGCCTAAGAATAATAATTGTAAACAAAATGCTATATCAATAAGGTTTTTTCAAAGTAACATGCAAATAAGGTTTTAAAATAAAGTTAATTTAATATTTGATTACATTATTTATTCATCATTATGACCCGCCCTTGTGGGAAAACATTACCTCCTAGTTAATCAAAAATGACTTCCTCTTTGAATGCAAACCACATTAACACTCCAAAGGGACATTTCTTCTTTTCAATGCTTTTTCCCTTTAGCTTAATATTCTTTATGCTTATTTTTTAAAAACGTTGCCAAGTTTTTATTTGCTTATTTAATGGAGGGAGTTAAGAGTGAGAATTTTGGCAGCGTTGCTTTTGAGAAGCAGGATTATTATTGGAGTGGTAGCAATATATGCCTCATTATTGATCTCAGGCTATGAAGATTTAATAATGCGAAGCCTTCTGAACATGAAGAACTCTTTTTTCAGTCAAGCATTTTTCTTAACTTTATGTAACACCTCTTTCTCTAAACTAACTGCTAATGCAGCCCATGTGGCTCTCCCAAGCTCCACAAAAGAATGAAAACCAGAAAGCCTAAAAGACAAAACAAATGGAGAAAGAGAGCTGCTGTTATCAGGAGGGCAGGGCGGGAAACTGTTGCTCTTCCTAGAAAGACACAGAAACTGTTGCTTTAGAAGGTGCCACAGGAAGGACTGGGAAAATCTAGGTTTCTTCTCCATAATGCAAGGAAGGTTGCAGGAGGTATGCAGGGGGTTGCTGGCTGCATCCAGTGCACCAGGTCATCCCCATGGCACACAGCAATCATTCTGCAAAAGCAACTATGAAGATTGTCAGATGTAGATTTCAACAATATTCAAATACGCACTTGTTTCTCTATCCTTACATGACAGACTTCTGCTTCAGTAGAGTAATAAATGCTTGTAAAATGATTTCACTGCAAGTTTAACAAAAAGTGAATAGTGGCTTGCACTCCTCATTGACAAAAGCTAATATGCACGTTCAAATCCTAGGTGAATTTTAAGACTGTTATCACAGTCTGTAATCTATACACTGATATCCATTCCTTCACTGAGACAGCTAAAGGATTTTGATTGCTTAAGGATCTGAACAACCAATTCCCTAAACTGCAGTAAAATCCTTCTCGGTACTGCTTTTTTTTTTACTACTTTAATATTTATTAGTTGTTTTAATTATTAGTGATGACTTGGGAACCTGTGTAGGAGGCTGCTGTGGGTGATGAGATAAAGACCTAATAGATGAAGCCTTGTTCTTACATGGTTACTTCATTAGTGACAATACGGCCAAATAATAAGAGGGGATGCCAATTAAAACCAAAATGTGGCTTTATTTTACAGTAAGTGAATATTATTTTATAACTACTTAGGTCATGAGAAAACAAAAATAAAAATCTGAATTACCAAGTAAAACATCTAAGAAGAACACTGAATTCCCCATAATTACCATATGCAAAATATTATAGATAAGATTATAGAGTCAAGTACATTTCCATGGCATTGACTTACATGCTATTGGACAAATTTCCAAATTCTTCATACAGCAGTAGGCAGCTAACAAAGCAATTATTTCTTATTTATTTACTTACTATTGAAATTACGCCCACAATAAGCATTTTAAACCTGTCAGAAAACAATGTTTTTCTTTACAAACTATAAAAAACTACCAGTTATTCTTCAACCGGCTTCGAAGTAAACAGATTTCACAACACAAAAACAAGTTCTTAAATGTATTAATGAAAGTGCATGTGAAATATTTAATTTCTGAAACACATAATTTAAATATTTACCTAGGCATCAACATACACAGTCCACTTGGAAATATGTTCTTAAATGTGTAACACTGTGCACCATCCACCTCTGTTCTATCTTTCCACATACTAAAGCAACCATTGGTTTTTTGAACCCTTTGTACCTAAACGGCAGTGTTGGATTCACGGTTATACAGCTGCCACATATTTCTCAGCCACTGCTTTGCCAAGGCATAATTACAGCCAGTACCTGAAGCCAACTGTAGTGTTCTGGAGCCCTGCCTGTTAAACCTTCTCCTCCCTGTTATCACTATTAGGATTTAGTTACTTTCACCTGCTTCTGTACACACAGCCAAACTGAAAACACAGCAATGGCTATCCTCTGATTTATTATAACCTCTTTTTTGGGGGAAAAAAAAAAAAAAATTCTACTTTTCATCATACAGTTTTTAAAATTCCAAATTTCTAATATTTTTAACTAATATATGATATCTACGAATGGTTGTCAGAGGAGGTACTTCTTACATATGACTAACACAAACCAGAGGATTTAGTGGCTGCTGACATAATTGGAAGGAAATACTTAGGCAGTTTTTCAACTTATTCTGTTACAGCTTGAAAAAATAAATAAATAGATTTCTGGAGTAGACATTGTTCAAAATAAATTTGAACCCCATTTTCTCCCCATGCTTTAAACCTCCATATAAAGACGATAGAGAAAACAGGCATTTTAATGAATGCCTTCAGACAAGACAGATTTAGATCTTTAGAGCATAATCCAAAATAAAGTTGTTCCCAAAGTACATATGAGTATTTTTGTAAGTTTTGAATTGACAACTTTCCATTATGTTGGAACATAATGGAATAATAAATAAATAGATAATGGGGAACAAAAAATAACAGATTATGGGGAACATTGAAATGCTTCACTATCTGTTCAGAATTCTTGCTGTAATTCCTAATTTGTAATGCTGAACATTCTCACCAATTTATCTTTACTGTTCTCCAAACACGTTTACTTTTCAAACATCTTACTTTTCACTCCTAGAAGTAATTTACTCTTGAGATCACAGCTGGTACTTTTTTAGCTATAAATTACTAAAGTTCGTAAGAATAATGGTATGTAAGCATTTCAATGGGGTATTCATCCAAAAATGTGTGTGCTCTTAAATCTTCAGCAAATTATATTGTTAAATGTTCAACATGGAATAGCTTTTCTACATTCTCATCAACAAAATTCACTGGCAAATTTACTGCCTCCACTTGATAACGTACATCTTGTAGACAGATGCATAAGTTTCTAAGTTCTATAATCAAGCAGTCTGAATTGCAACCTGATCCAAAGCAACGCAAGTCATTTCTACATATTTTTCTCATTTCCTGTTTCCTATTACTTGCTGCTCATTTCTATTAGATTTTAGTGCTCTTGTATTAGGACTGAACAGCATAAACCCTTGAGATTTAGAAATACAGATTGGATTTTTACGATAGGTGATTTCTACGTATCTGTTTGTCATTTGCTTTTATTTTCAATTCAGAAATATTATGTCAGAAATGTTTAAGAAAATAATTACCTGGACTGGATAAGCACACTTCTGAATAGCAGATTATATTCCAGATCAACTCCAATATATCACATTTACAGCCTCAAGAGGTGCTGGCAAAATAAACAAAAAGACAAGTTCTGTTAAATTCACAGAAATTAAGCCTGAACATACACCTCTCCCTATTTATTATTTTTTTCAAATAGTAAAACAAGAAAAGGTAAATTCCTCTTTCTTCTGTTTACAAAAAGCATTCTGCTCTTCCCTGTCACTGGTGACTGGCCTGGTTAATTTAGAAAATGACAGCTTCCCATGTCAGCATATTTGGTGGTTCTAGTACCAGAAGTTTAAAATCTCCACTAATTCCCATTTTTCTGCTGAGGAACATCAAGGTCTCGCATATTCTCTTAGGGAAGGATAAATGTGGCTTATCTTAACTTTCATAACTGTTGCCTACACTTAAATTCTGACAATACGGATGCATAACGGCTCTCTATGTAAACCAATGATCCCAGAAATAAAAGTACTGGAGGACACATACAAACTGAAGTACTAGTAGGAGATATGATTTTGAAAATGAGTTAGGAAGACATTTTCCAAACAGAAAAAGGAAAAAGAAAATAAAAAAGAAGCCTGGTTTGAGGATGGTATCATTATTTTTCACGAGAGACATCACTCAGGAGAAATGGGTAGACTAGTAGTTACACATTACTAGAGTTAGAGGCATATTAAAGACTCGCTGGCTGCATATTTCCATAATGCTTTGAAGTTAGTTGATACAAACTACCATAAGACGAGATTCCTAAGCTAAAATCTGTAGGAGATACCTCTGATCTGACGCCATAGTATACATAAAAAAGTCTGACACGCATTTTGTATATGACAATGTATGGTGTTACCTTCTTCAGTCTGACACTTGCAATTTTTTCTTAATATTGTCTGGCTATTAGGCTAGCCATCCTTCTGAAGTGCTTTCACATTTAACATTTTTAAAATTCAGAAAAAAAAAAAAAGAAAAAAAACTTTCTGTATTTGTTCACTTCAAGAAAATACAAATGTAATAAACGTTCAAACCAATATAATCAGTAAAAGATTATGGCATGTAGGGCATGAAAGAGAAGTAAATATGGAACATGTACTTATCCTTGCAGGAACTACACTACAGTCACTATAGTTGTCACATTTCATACAGCACATACAAATTTTGAAGAAAAGAGCTTTAAAATATGAGAAAAAAAAAACAACTCGTCTGAAGGCGAATTCCACAGAAATATACTCCTATCAATAAAAATAATTTGATAACATAAATGGACATCATTTTACAGCTTTCTCACTCAGAGCACGAGGCAAAAGAGGGCACTGAGGAGGTTTCTGCTACTGAAGTAAAACAGAATTTCTACTGAGAAAAGGAACTACAATATGAATTTACAAAGTTGCTGAGAGATCCTCAGAAATACGTTAAGCCTCTCATTTCCTTTCTTTCTTGGCTTCACTAAATCATGAACAAAAATTGAATCCAGCATTAGATCACCAAATCAAGAATACTTAATGGAAAGAAAAACAGCAAAAGAAGGAGGTAAAGGCTGCTAGAGAAAAAAACAGCTTTTACAGTCATGAAAGCTGGGCTGCTCTGTTTTATAGGTATCTATCTGTACAGGTAGATATATATAAAATATACATACTGCATACATGCACCTAGTTACATGGAAAAAATAGCTAATACCCACATCTGGAGAAGCACAGATGTGCACCAAGAACAACTCTGCAACAACATAATGTGGTTATATAGCAGAATGATTATCAATAATATACTCAACTGAACATTTTAGAGCTACATTAGATAACAAGAGACAATAAAAGAAATGTAAACGAATGCCATACTTTCGGACCAGGAATGCCAGTACACCAACATTCAGAAACAATTTCCCCTATGTATTGGGATTTGTGCAGAGTAAACATCTGCAGCAAGCTCAGGTGAGCAGTAGAAAGAGCTTAAGGGTGAAGGCTGGGGACTTGTTAGGTTTCTGACATGTGAAGCACTGCCTATTGCAGGCAGTGTGGAATGCTCTTGGCAACGATTGTGGGTGGAAGAAAAACAAGAAAAAAAACTTCCTGCTTTTCATTGCTGTTTTGTTTTGTTTGTTTTTAATCCAGGACGGAATGAAACCACATCTAAATAATCAAAAATCGAAACACATCTTCACTCCTAATGAGAAAACACTCACAAACAGAGTAGTGGTTCACTCAGGTGATATTAAAATATTTAATTTTTAAAAATGGTTGTTCACTTGGATGATTATAAGGCATGTAACAAAGAGGAAGTATGAAGAGCATTTAAAAAGTAGTACCATCTGGAAAATTCTGGTTCCCTTTGGATTTCAGCACCCAGAAATCTGAAGGGTACCAAATTTTAATAGTTTGTTTGGTAATTAAGCTAAAATGAAGCCATTACATTCACCAGATTTTGATCTCTTGAATAAAAACATGAACTTTAAAAAAACTTCCTAAATAGAATGCCTTGGTGCTCCCCTACGAGCTCACTAACTGAAGTAAGGACTCCAAACTCCATAAAGAAACTAGGGAGTCTTGACTTTAATGCCATTGTGAATTTGTCCTTTCATTCAGGAAAGGTATGATGTTACTCGGGGTGAGTAGACAGAGAGATTGATTTACCTACCTCTTTTAAAAGAATTGCTTTTCAGAGATGTCTATCTCTCTTTGCTGAGAACAGAAAGAGCAAAATTATAGGTGGTTAAAGGTGGTAATGAAAGCCTTAGCCTCAATTTAACTTGAAGAACTCCCATAAGATGAACTGCACTTCTTGTGTCTTTTTCAGCAGGATTTTTCAGGCTGCATAGTTTACCTGTATTCCCTGCCTTCTTTTCAGTACATGCTTGTCAAAATTGCAGCAGCACTACTTTGGGAGAGGATACTTGCTGTTTGCCCTCAGAGTCCTGGAACATGATGTGAATTTCTGACAGCAGATCCCACTAGATCACAGTTAAATGAACTTTGGCATGCAAAGCTTGTTTTAAAATACTAGTTGCCAGGTCAGCAGTTTTCAGGTTTTGGTTATGACAAAGTGACATGAAGCCAGGGTTGCAAGATAGGAAACGTATCCTCACTGCTCTTCTTTAGGGATTTCTTCTAAACCTTGGGGATTTGCTTTCAGGACTCAGTCACACGAATCTGGCAGCACATAACTGTAAGCCTGTTTAATAGCCTGCCTGCTCTTCATAGGGAATCTTATTGCCAGCTTTGTGCTGAACATTACAGATGAGCTGTTTGAAATATTTTGGTGCTCTCCACAAAATGTTTGTTGCCCTGCAGGATGGTAATGGTGGAGGGTTAAAGAACTTTGTTTTTTTCAAACCCATCCCCTGACCTTTTGCATTTATGTGGGCCAAGCAAAACAGATTTTTCTGTTATAAATATGGGTTTAAACAGGTAATTTATCAAGAATCATTAACATTTTTAGACGTTTGGACTTTTTTGTGTATTTGTGGTACATAAATACATTAAGCCATAGTACATTTGGCCTTCTTGTTGTGTGTTTTTTTGAGGTTGTTGGGTTTTTTTATTTTTATTTTTTCCATTTTCACTTTGTTTCCACAGGCATTTCATTTTTAACATTACAAAAGACCGAAATCATAGTTTTATATTCCTGATTCTACTTGGGGACATCTTGAAAGGCATCATATCATGCTTACTATGCTATTCTAAAAGATCTAAAAATGAAGAGATTGGCACCCTCTAAATACAGGTTCATGTACATTAAATATGGAACACTAATTGGGATTAGTTAAATCTTAAAGGCAAAGGCAAACAAAGAGTCAGTCCCAAAGGTACACGTCATTCTTTTTATCTTACTCAGTTGGTTGTCAGAAAGTAGGAAAGAGCATATTTGATAATACTGACTTGAATATATACACAACTTTGTATGTACACAGACATGCACAGATGTTGATTTATACCAGTCTTGACAAAGGTGGGTAGCTGTCTATATTTCTTCTTCTAATGCATCTCACAGTGGCTAGTCACAGAGGGATTTAGGTGATGGAAAACAAGACTTACAAACAAAGCAGGTAAGACTCTTATATCTCAGACTCCCATTGTCAGCTGTGGAGAGGCTGGACAGCCTTAGCCCTGACAATCTTTCCTTTCACAGTAGGAATGGCAAGACAAACCCTGACCTGTCACACACTTGGAGAACATTGGGTTTGCCTCAGTGGCTTCCGCTCAACTGACAGCTCCAGAATCTCAGTTTTTATAGGATAAAATATGTATTTATTCCACAAGAATTATTGTCACCTCCCACTTTTTTTCATTAATACAGGCTATTTTATTCTTTTCACGAGCTATAATAACTACCAGACATTTTTTAAAGTTACTCTGGCAGTGCAAAGGGCCAGGGTAAAAATAATGGTATTTTTGGAAACATCACTGAAGCAATCTCAATTTTTTAGGTTTTTCATACTTCTAAAGAGCTGGTCTTGCACAGCACAAATACTGGGGATTGGAACCCCAACTCTTAAAAATTCAGACCACAGAAGCAGCATTAAATCAGGCTTTTTGCTACCAGGAGTGATTAGATACAAGCTTGACAGCAGTACTGGCAACAGCTGGAACATTTCTACTTAAAATTATACCGTATGCAGAATGGCACAGCTCTTTGATTGAAGATTCTTTATAATCCCGATGTATGTGTTTGTCATAAGGTAATTATGCAGTGTGAACATCTCTTTGCATGATGACATCGTTCTGCTAGCTGTGCTCAAGTACTAAATATATTTTATATGTCTTCATATGTATCTGGATGAATTCATGCATGCTCACACATTAACATTAAATTCTGTCTGATACTAATTACATAAGAAGTAAATTCAAATTCCAAAAAAGGTGGTTCCAAAAAAGAGTTTAAAATGTCTGCTTTAAAATGTACATTTCTGTTTATGATGCTGTTTGAATTGTTTGTTTGTTTCTTTGTTCTTCTAGATGTGTGGGAGATTCACATTCACATTCACTTATTACCTACGTACATCATTACTGTCATCTGTTCCCTGTACTTCTTCTCATCAAGGGACTTATCTTAGCCCCCACAAATCTATTCTACTTCTATCACAGCAATTAGAAATTATAATATATATCTTCATCAAAGGTACTAAAGTGCATAAGTGCATTTCTAAAAACAAAAAACAAAACAAAAAAAAAAACTGATTTGTTTTTAATTATTACAATTGTTAGCTTTCTAATCTGACGTTTTTTTCTAAAACACTATTTTAATCCAACATGTGCACAGTAGACAATGAAAGAAGTGCACTCACAGATGTTAGGAAAAAAAAAAAAAAAGCCTTAATCTACACTCATCAAAGCTACTTATAATTTTTATTAATATATTACCACTGTAAGATAAGGCTTATTAATTTTGATAATCTGCAATCAACATACAGCATGCCAGTTAAGTATTTTCTATGCATTACCTTACAGACATACCATAAGCAAGAAATCACAAGGAAAAGGACAGTCATCTCTGGACAGTGATCAGCTGTGAAGTATGGCAGGGATGGAAAGAAGAAGAAACTTAACCCAGAGTAGGCTCAGGTTCCCAAGAGCAGAGCCCTGCAGGGACAACAGAGCTCAGCACTGGAGCAGAAGCAGTAGAGCAGTACAGACTCTGCAAGTGGGTCTGCACAATTTCTCTTCTGCAGATTTAGATATAGCTAAAATTATGTAACAGCTTGCAGGCTCTAACTAGGGTTAGTTCCATAGCTTTCTTGTTTTCTTAGGGGGGGAAAAAAAAAAAAGCAGTTTGCTTTTTCCTAATCATTTTCATCTTTCTCTGCTACATTCTGGACTTGCTTCCTCAAAGAATATTCCAGTTCTTAACATACAAACCCAGTTGAGATCCATGCCACTATTTGGAAGCTTGAAATGGGAGCCTGAGGAACAGTGTGCAAATCTTCAGAAAATGTTGTGCAGTCCTAAAAGTGTCTATGAATTACTGCCAGTCACACGCCTTTGAAAGACCAACAGTTCTGCTCTGCCTTCCACATCAAGACAGCTGAGCTATGAGTGCCAGTCAGAAAGAGATGTCTTGGGGCTTTTCAGAGGATTTCACAGGTCTTGAGAAGAGCTGCACTAACACTAAGTCTGCCTGCAGTACTTCACCCAGAAGGAGGCTGACTTCTACTCAGGCCCCAGAGTAGGTCAGCAACACCTGCTCTTGCAGTGCCTCTGCCACAGGATGCTGAGAGCTTGCCAGTTCTGATTAAGAGATATAAATGCTGTGTTGTTCAGGCCTTTCCTTTTCCTAATTTGCACTGGGAAGCCTGGAGCCTGCAAGTGAGCTCTTTTTTGGCAGCACCGCACTTCAAAGCCTTTGTTGTACCAAGGAAGACCATATATATTTAAGAATCCTTTTTTAATTCTTAGGCATCACTACCTCAGACAACTCAACACAGGATTCCTCATCTTGCTATCCAGTCTTATGCTATTTATAGTCTAAAAGTTACAAAATGGTTATATATACTGTTCAAAAGCAAACCTGGTTTCCAACTCAGTGTTGTTTCATTTAATGTGTGTGGAATTGAACACAAACAGTGAAATACACTTATGTTAAGCAATGCTTCCTCTTCCTCCATCTCATTTCAGTGCAGACATTTGCTTCTTTCCTTTAGTGTAAACAGAAGTAAGGAGGCAGAGATAGGGAGTAAACATTAGATTCTTATGCTTATGAGAGGCTCCTGAAGTGCTTGGAAGCCTCTGTTTGAGACCAGGAAACAATGTCTGCCTCCCTCTAACCCTGGCAGAACACATACACAAAGACCCTGAAAAGTGGAGGTTGTTGTCTCTCCTTGCCACACAATACTGAGCTGCCTGAGAGGGATGAATGGATGCATCCCTCCCAATTGCAGTTCCCCACTGGCATTTCATTCAACAGGGCTGGAATCTCAAAGAGTTGGTCTGTCAAATGGTTTTAAATCAGGAAAGATCAGACGGGTTCAGCTTCCCCCTCGACTGCATCCTCAATTCTAATTTTCACATTTTATGCTTCATGCAAATGTTAATTACAGAGATGAAAGCCCACTTTCCTTTAATCATTCAATCTTAGCACATACACAAAAAGGAAAGCAAATGTATATACAAAATTTGCCCAAAGGAAAAAAGGCTGACTCCACCTAGAGGAAAGGGAAACCGAGTATTAATTGATGTCATAGTAGTAATAGTAGTAGTAGTAATAGTAGTAGTAGTTATTATTATTATTATTAATTAGTAATTATTATTATTATTATTATTATGTACTGAAGGATTTTGTTACACAAACTTCCTCTAACTTTCTCTAATCAAAGCTTATGTAAAACCAGACCTTAAGTTCTATTAGCTTTTCTACTGTAATTAGTAAAGTCATGGTGAAAAGCCAGTTTATACCCATAGTCGATAGTGTCATTGAAAAAAATATTATTTTCATTCAAACAAGACACTTTATTTTTAAGTTAGTGGCAAAGCCTCAAAGATAATTAAAATGAGTTTATATTTCTGTGGGCCTCCATCAAATGGAAAGCATTTTAATTACATATAAAGTGATTTATGAAATCATCAGATAAATATTTTAACGTGGCATGTTTACTGTAAAAATTATGTTTACTCATATAGTCAACAATGTATACAAAAAACAGTTGGTACCCACAGAGTGTCGGTCCCTAGGAAATCAAGTTCTTATACTGAAACTAGAGCTGCACATTCCCAAATGAATACAGCATTTGCAGTAAAAAGACTGTGTGGGTTATCAAAAAAGAAATGCAGAAATTCAATGAAATAATTTTCCATAACTAATGATTCTGAAGGACAGATTTACCAAGAATGATGTGATGCCACCTTATAATAAATACCCAGTCCAGTAATCATTGCCATTACCCCAAATTTGTGAGACACAGGCTTTGTTCCCACTTTTATCTGAGCGAATTCAAACACATAAGAGGTATTTTGGAGTAAGTCTGTTTGATTATTTTTGTAAAGCTCCCACTCTCTGCTGTAGAAACCATTCCACATGTTATAAATAATTACAGACACTGGAGAACTATGACCTAAACATCAGGCTGGAAGGCTTTTTTCTGATGCGAGGACTCTTTTCATGCTTAGAAAGAAATAAAGAGAGGAAGAGAGGAAGGGAAGAAGGGACAGAAAGAGAGAGAGACAGAGACAGAGAGAGACCGAAAGAGGAAAGGAAGGCAAGGCATGTCAGAAAGAGAAAAAGAGAGAGGGAGGGAAGAAGGCAGGCAGGCAGGCAGGCAGGCAGGCAGGCAGGCAGGCAAGAAGGAAGGAAGGAAGGAAGGAAGGAAGGAAGGAAGGAAGGAAGGAAGGAAGGAAGGAAGGAAGGAAGGAAGGAAGGAAGGAAGGAAGGAAGGAAGGAAGGAAGGAAGGAAGGAAGGAAGGAAGGAAGGAAGGAAGGAAGGAACCACTCCATCATATTCAGTCCAGTAGAGCAAAAAAGCTTGTCTGCATGGCAGAATGACAGTGAGATAGCAGCATCAGGCGAATTCCTTTTAGCATAATCTTGTTAACATAAGACTAGCAGTGAAGACAGCTTCAGCTTGCGTAGGCACTTACAACCATCATGCAAATTTTCCAAAGATGCAAAATAAGTACACTGATGTATACTGAAGTATTACTAAATCATGTCACACCCTCTCTATTTCAGGGTATAAGCTAGTGGTTTATGTTAGTATACACTGTATATATGTTCACTGTGCCATATCCAAACAAGTGCACTCTTACCTGCAAAGTAGAATACATCCCTAACAGTGTGTTAAGAAACAGTCCACAATTCTTTGGAAGCAAAGTGCAAAACTTGGCTTTTTCAAGTGGCAAGATTCTAGTTCAAGTTGTGGAGTTCACCGAGCTGTGAGTCTAGCTCTTAGAAAAGCTATGGTCATTATATTCCTCCTGAAGACAAAAAGGAAGCTTAACTGCTCATATTCTGAGCCCTAAGCAGTGTGAGTGATTTTCTTTCTGAACTTCCTCAAATTCAAGCACATACAGTTACTCCACTGACCACCCAGCCTTTTTACAGTAAATTAAGGCAAGTAGGCTGGCATAGTCTAAAACAACTGGGTTTGGGATTAGGTTTATTTGTTATGCTAGGAGAACAGGGAAAGAGTTTAAGCAAAAAACAAAAACACAAAAAACAAAAACAACACAAAGTTTCATAAAATAGATTAAAAAAAAGCAACACAAAACCAAAACTAAACCAAGCCAAAACAAACAAACAAAAAAAAACAATCAAGAACAGAAGCAGAGAAAGAGCTTCTTTCTCCATCATCTGTTAATGCAGTCAGAAGACTGCCCTGATGAAGTTTAGGTATGGAAAACTTAGCCAAAAGTAATAAGCAGTATTCCAGGAAACGCTGTAGTAGTTGATGTACAGTCTGTAAACACCTTAAACTTCTGCAAGTCTATTGCCTCCATGGACTTCTCAAAGCAAAAGTGCCAAATGAGAATCTTTAGGGACTAGATAGCTTTATACGAAGCTTTACAATTTGTTGTGGCTGAACTGAACTGACTTTCCAAATATGCAATAGACTGGATCAATGCTGTAGAGAATACTGGATAAATGTGACATTTTTCCACTCAATAAAAACAACAACCCTTCTTGGAGAAGTACCAGTAATAAGAAAATGTCTCCCCTTTATCGCACTGCCTTTGCATGTCCTTAAACCAAAACAGTTTGATACTGTGGCGTTTGTTTACCCTTCGAAAAAGATTGAGCTGTACTTCACTAGCAAGTATAAACAGCAAAGAAATAAGAATATTAAGAAAGGGTAAAAAATAGGAATTGGGTATTTCTTTGTGCTTGTGGATATTATATGCTGTTATTTATATTTTGCTTTACCAAAAGGAATGTATCAACAGAAGAATCAGTGCTGACTCCCAGGGTGAAAGTTGCTGGAGTTGTACATTCACAAATTCTCCTCCTCCTTCAAAAGCTGATTAGTATCTGAAGACAATTCTTTTGAACACACTTTATAATGTACCTTGTTCCTCCATAATATGAGTCATATAAGTTTTATGTAATTTTGAAGCAAATATAGCTACACAATATTAAATTAAAATCATCTTATAATAACTCAAGCATGAAAGAAAGAAAGCAGTTTACCAGAAAAAAAAAAAAAAAAAAAGAAAAAAAAAAGAAAAAAAAATTAACTTTTTTGGTCCCACTTTTAATTTTTAGCCTGCAATCTGATCAAAATCAAATGAAATCATCTGACATTTTACAAACCTCTCAATTTCAGGTCAAAGAGATCAATGGGGGAAAAACGGCGAAAGAAAAAGCAGAATCCCCTATTTCAGAAAATAAATTGGCACTTTAAAATTATCTGATTTTCAGGGAGAAAAAGACCTCTCAAAATTAGATCTAATGCTGCAATCCCTAAACACTCTGAGTTTTAATCTTAGGAGTGAGTGAATTTCTTGTTTGGGCAGTGGAGTTTTCCCCAGTTCTACACTTCCATCCTCCTTCACTGGCAAAAGCATCTCACCCTTGTGCTCTTCACTGTTCTAACTTGTCACACCTATTTCAAAGTCCCCTCTTAGAATGACACCTCATGCAACGCTTTAGGAGGTAGCAACAATATTTGTT